CTGCTGACAGGCTGCCCACCGGGTCCTCTCCATCGCGATCCCAACAAGAGTCGCATACTGTTACTCCATGGGGATGGAGTTTGGCAAGTCTGGGAGGACAGGGTTCAGCCCCCCCACCCCGTGTGTGGCAGGATGCATCTGGTGCACTGCGCCCTTTCCATAGGCTTCCTTTGCTGCAGCTTGGGCATTTGGAGGTGCTCGGGGAGCAAACACCGCTTGTGGCTTCGAGTGGTTCATCTGATCCAAAGGAGCTGCTCGTTTCTGATCCAACAGGCAGGCAGTTTCCTTTCTTCTCTCTTCCTCCCTCCTTAAAGCACGGTGCCTTTTTCCCTGGTCACTCTTCCTCCCCAAAATCTGGTGGTGCTACTGCCTGATGTTACCATGAGAATGGTGCTTTGGAGCAAACAGAGGTTGATCATTTAAGCATCACGCATGCCGGAGGTGAGAGGAGCATGCCGTTTAAACAGGTGGCAAGCAAAATGGGTAACACATAAGATGTCCAATGTAACTGTTTTTCAGGGTCCCTTTTGCACCACAGTACCAGGTTGGCCCATTCATCACGCCTGTTAGAAAAATATGGCATTCTTGTGGTCAGTGAATGAAATCAGTTTTCATTCAGCTGCATTTATGCTTGTATTTCAGATTATTTGGGAGATGTGCTAACATCTAAAATTGTGATAGCAGTCCATGGTAGGTAGGTGGGTGAATTAACAGCCATTAACGAGGTCTGTGTGAAGAAAAGACTCTACCAGAAGCAGTAGTAGGTAAAAATAGTTTATTCTTCTGAGTGGAATTACACTGTAATAACATTAAGAGTGTTCCTGTGATGGGGTCATGACAATTTTAATGTGAAGCAAAAACAAAAATGAGGCTTTACAAATGTTAGCTGTCTATCCCAGTCTCTTTTTAAGGTGCTGTAGGTGAAAATAAAAATACGTCTTCTTGTTTATAGCAGTCTGTAATGTGGAAATGAACGAGAGTGCTTTAGCCCAGTTTGTGGTATTAGAACTGCCATTACCTAGAGCTCTGACTTGGGACACGTAAAAGCATGTGTGAGAGAAGAGTAAGACAAATGTGAGACTGGCAAAAGCAGGAATGAAGGTGGTTTCATGGCTGTTTTTGCCAGTCTCACATTTGATAGATAGCAGGGCAGTGTGACACCTTAAGATAAAATGAAGGAAGTAAGACAGCGTGTGTTTCTAGACCTTGCATGGTCAGTCTTTGGCGCTCGATGTGTGAAATGGGCAACTCTGCTGAAGAGGAATCTTGTATCTGAGACAGAATTAAAATGTCAAGAAACCCACTGAATAAAAAAATCCTGAAATCAAGAAGTTGCAAAGCATTCATTTTTAGCATATTTGCAAAAAAGATAGAGAACCAAAGTCTTTAGAGGTGCTTTTTCCCCTTCCTATTCCATATAGATCTTTGCAAAGCAGATGCAACCAGAAGTATATATGGCAGTTGGCTGTTAGTTCTAATTTAAAGTGGGCTAGTTAGAAAACAGTTTCACTTTGATATTTTTTTCTTTTTAAAAGAATTTGTGTATGTACATTCTTAATACTGTGTGAGGCTTATAGTGACATCCATCAATCAGATTTAAGAAAGATAAAATACTGGAGAAAAACCAGGATTACATTAGTGTAGGCATGAAGGTTTTTGTAGGCCACAAGTAAGATGTTGCTTTTCCTTTCATTTGGTATAATGGATATAAAATTTGATTTTTAAAATGGCCATTGTTCACTTAATGGTCAACATTTTTTTTAGACTAATATGTAATCTACCATCTTGCAAATGGAAGTATGATGCTTTTGAGATCCAGAGGTTCTTTAAACACATGGAAAAAGATGGGTTTTTTTAACGACAGGTGGTCTGGGAAAGGAATTTTTAACTGTAAAGGTACCTTGTAAATGAAAATAACAGAGTGTCTTCACATTTTAATAATGTGAGTAAAATGCTGTGTTCTAAGTAAATTAATGAAAGCTTTGAACATGTGAACTGAAAACTCCAGGTCAAATTGGTACTTCCATATGAAAGACCAAGGAAGATCTAAGTTCTGGCTTTGGAATTTCCTTAGAGCCTAATTTTTCCGGGAGTGGAGGGTATTGCTTTTGCTCTGCTTGTGCACTAAACATGTATGCTCTCCAAATTCTGTTTACCTTAATATCTTGAAGAGGTGTGGTAGTTAGTCCCACCTTCAATGGAATTCAAAGGTGAGACCAGAGA